AAAAAAAGAAACTAATACAATATGCCTGGTAACCTGGCTGTTAATAGCCTTACCTGGTGGTACTCCACGCATGATGGTGTCCAAATCTCCTGTCATATCCTGTCAAATGCCAAACACCTCCCATAAGAAAGAGGCCCAAAGGGAGAGATATTCTTGTTTCCTGAAGAAAACCCAATGAACATTTACTACCGTTTTAGGAAGTCCCCACTCCATTGCTTTAATTTTTCTGTGACTATACCATATCATATGTACCATATCATGGGAAAACATTGATCTGCTGATGTGCTGGTCTCTGTTCACACTCCATCTTAATCTCCGTTTTGACTAAGCCTGCATCTTGCTGTGAACTTCCTTCAACAAGTTTTGGACTTCAACCAGCAGTTAAACTGAATAGAATCATCACCTTGCAGTATTTCTTCTAAAATTAAATGGTCTTGAAATCAGGAGACAAATTTCTGGTCATCCTTCAAGAAAACCTTATTCATACCCAGAGACAGAATTTATGTGTCTCTTACGGTCTTCCATGTGCATACATTATGATCTGTAATCTGCAAATATTTATTTACTTACTTTCTTGATATAGTTTGCTAACTCTGCAGAATGTACTTTATTGTCAATTAATAAAATAAGTTGAAGGGCAAGGAATTATATGACATTCATATATCAGTGATTCACAAGTTAGGAAGTAGTTTTACTGTTGGAAAACCTGATGAGTTTACACAAAAGTTGTCAGACTGATAAGCACTGCTGGCAGCAACAAATTAAAACTAAGAAGAGGAAGCCAACGCTGATACAGTTTTAATAGAGTGAAAACAGAGAAGATTTGAGTAATGCACATCAGACAAATGTTTGCACTTATCTATATTTTTGTCTGAAATAGAAATAGACACACTAAATCCATGCATGACATTTCTAAATTTATAATTATTTTGTACAATAAGTGACCGGCATTAGTCCTATATTTAATTAAAGGAACTTTTTACTGCTCAGTATCAGGGTCATTTCTTTAATAAAATAACAGTGAAGATATGGTAGAGTTGGGATCTTTTTTGAGATGCATACTCTCCAGTGTGTGTTTTCTTGTTGTACTGGAAACATGAGTTGTTCAGCAGAGATTCAGGTTAAGCCTCCCTGGCTCAGCCTCTGGGCATTCACAAGAGTTATTTAGAAAAATTGATTGTTTGACAATCAATATAAACCTTGGAAAGAATATCTTGCTAGGAGAGCTGATTGTGTCATCTCCATGGAGATGGAGCTTGGTGCATTATCATGTGGAGTTGTCCCAGATGGACTCTGCTCATTTGCTCAATTAGTTTAATATGTGGATAGCCTAGTTCTGAAATCACTGTTCAGGTTTGATTTAATTCTTCCTTAATAGAGGAATTAGTGCACTTGAAATTCATAGCTTACCGTAGACTGAGTTGGTATTTCAGTGTTTGGTAAGACTTTTGAAGTATTTGCAAAGCATTTACTCAACAGTATAGAATATTATACAGGTTTTGTTTGTCCTAAATATAGAATATATGGCTCTCTCTTAGCATGAAGATAAATCTCCCCCTTAGGAGTGGTAAGCAAGAACAATTAGTAGCTGAATTGAGGGTCAAGTAAAGTAACAAGCATGTTCTTGTGAGTAGTTTACCAAGGTTGTTCTGATACAATTCCATAAAAGTATACCAAGAACTATACTGTGAATAAGTTTGTTGTTAAAATAATGATTTCTTCATTCAAGCTGTATTCTGTTATGCTTCTTGCTGTTTTTTCCGTGTCATTAATTTGTTTTTTATTTCAGACCTTCTTTCTAACTGCATTTTACCCCTCCTTTTTTTTTCATGTTTTCCCCTTTCTCATTGTCTTTTGTAAACAGCAGTATAACTCCATAATGCTTTGGGAGTTCTGTTCCAGAGACTGGTGGTAAATCAGGAGAGATAAAGAGTGTGTTCTCAGTGGACTATTGAAACATGTGGTCACTCATACATTATTGATCTATTTCTCTTCTTCTAGGTGCGCTTAATGATCACAGATGCTGCAAGACATAAGCTCCTGGTTCTAACTGGTCAGTGTTTTGAAAATACAGGAGAACTCATTCTTCAGTCAGGATCCTTCTCTTTCCAGAACTTCATTGAGATCTTCACAGATCAAGAGGTATGTTTAGAAAAGTGTCTTCCATGCATTGTTACGTGCTGGCAGAGATTCTTAGAAGACTAAAAGTGTCTCACTGTCTTGTTAGATTTCCCTAGGCAGCCTGGTGCTGATGCTCTTTACTCTTTATTATAGGCTTTCTTGCAAAACATTTATTTATTTTACTTCAGACTTAATGTAAATTGCCTAACAAAATAATTAAATATGGATTTGGGAAATTAAATTACAACTTTTGGAAAGTAAAAATCAAGGAGACAGTGGAAGGAGATAGTGCTGTGTTTAAAATACACAAATTGTTAACCTAAGGTGCACATACAAAGTATTTGAATTGAACTTGATGCCAGGTTCTTGTCTGTGGCTAATTAGCAAGTGGCATTAGTAAGACAGAGAGTAGTTATTAGAATAACTGTATTTTTTTTGCACCATCTACCTGCTTAACTTTTTTATAGTAGTGTCTAAAATATGGCAAATGACTCTGTAAAACTTGTTTTTTTTACATACCAAAATAATAAGCATCAAATATACCAGAATTTACCATTTGTTTCATGACTTGTTACTTTGCTCTCTTAATGTGCTCTGTCTGAAAGCTCCCATAGGGCAGGAATCCATAGTAAACAAGCTGTCATATTTAATTTGGCAGCCATGTAAAGTATATATTTAAATAAACTGTATGGCTGTATCCATACAAATTTAGTTTCCAGTATTAATTAGAAGCATGTCAGTAGACTGAGATTTGAAAGTTCAGCATTGAAATAGCATCATTTGCATGAGCTCTAGTTTGACCTTACTGTATCCATGTGATCTATTCTCAAAGCCTCTTTGTTCAGCAAATGATTGGGAAAAGAGCTGGATTCTTGCTCTCTGAAACAGTCCTGGCACCTAAAATTCACTGGCACTTCTGAGAGTCACTTTCCTATGAAATTACAAACTCAAGTTCTTTATGTCTGTCTAATTAGCGACACATAATTACTTTATGACTACATGCAAAACTAGGGGCAAATGCTACCATTACCATTAGGAAAAAAATAATTGCTTGGAAAGTGGAAGGATGGGGGTTGGCCATGAGTTGCAGATGCTGTGGGATTGCTGTAGTAGTGGGTGTTCAGGACACACTCCCATGGGCAATGAGTAAGGCTCATTTGGCTCATCTCTGGCTGGCAGTGTGCTCACCAGCCAGCTGGCGTGGCTCTCAGCAAGTGTTGGTTTCTAGCCTATTGTTTCTGAAGCCTCGGGGTCTCAGTGTGTCTGCAAGCTTTCACAAAACCAAAGATCATGTTTGTCATGCTGCAGTTGATGTGTGCAATCTTTTTTAAAAATTGGAAAAATTAGGAAAAAAGGTCTAAAAAAAGTGGTTACTGGTTATCTATGAGGTAACGAGATGAAAAATTTACTGTGCTGTCCTGATCCTAGTGGACTTGACAGTGCCAGATTTACAGTTGGACTCAATGATCTTAAGGGTCTTTTGCAACTTGAACAATTCTATGATTCTATGACCATAAAAGGTGGGAGTAAGTGTTCCTGGCCTCTGCCCATTTTTACTTCACTGGGCCAAATCTGAACTAAGGTCAAGGAATGTGTCTGCAAATAAGTAAGTACACTTCGGGTATAAAGTCTAATTCAGAAATCTGTCTCTAGCGTGCAGGAAAAGCCTGAAAGCAGTGTTTTCAATTTATCCTATTTGGGATGGTGTAAAATGTCCCATTCCCCTGCTTCTGCAAGAACAGCTAGAACAGGAAAGTCTTTCGTTGTACCTTTGTGATTCAGGGTACGAAGTAATAACCACGTTTTCTCTGAGCAGCCAACTTTCTGTTTGTCTTCACTAGCTGTGACACCTTTAAAACTCAAGCATTCCCCAACAGATGTCTCAATGCTTAAAAAGATTTATTCAGGTTTACAGGTATATTTCTTTGCTCACACAGTGGTTTTGAATTTGGAGAAGAGAAGGAGTGGCTACATCTTTGTGTTGCTGTCTATCCCTAGTGTCACCATTTGAAATTCAAATCCATTGATAATTTTTTCTGAGGCATGACTGAATTTGCTATTCCTAACAGATACAATCTGTGCCTGGTATAAACTTCCTTTAATTTTTCATTAGCCTGGGCTTCCTGTGGCTTAACACTGTCTGCATTATGCATGCCAACTTTAAGGAGCAAGAAAGTCAGAATTTAGAAGTATGAAGCAGAAATCCAAATATGGTATAATATAAACTGAAGAGGACTCACCCCGAACCTTGACACAGTATATTCATTAGCCCAATATATTGTCATAGAATTTTTATCTAGACAGAAAATTGGCACTTTATGAGAAACAGTCTGTATTCCAGTTTTATTTCCTTGTTCATGCAACAGACTTGGATTTATTCAGATAAAATGATTTTTTGTTACATTTAGCTCTCCCTAATAATGTGTTTTCAACCCTGATCAGAGATCAGAGACATATCTCAAGGAGTACTCTTGAGAATCTAAATCCATTTCAAAGCTGTCATCTGTGCTGCCCCTCTTTTCTTAATTCTGCAATAAACAACAGTAATGGTTCCCCTATTGTCCTTATCTTTCAACCTTTTCAGCCTTTTCTCCATTTTTTCTTTTTGCTTTGTTTTTCATTTGCAGTCATTCAGATAGGGCCATATTTGACATATGGGTGAGATTTATTTATACTCCTGTCAAATGGTTTAGATAGTAACAATGATACATGAAGGTAGAAAATATTTATTTTGGGCTTTATTTATCTCTTGGTTGGACTGTTATTTTTAAAACAGCCACTGCATCTTTATTGAGATCTATGTTTGGGAAATGCTAAAAAATAAGTTACATAACACAAAGAAAAAAGTGAGACCTACACACAAAGAGGCCCAAAGAGATCCAACAAATCAAACATCATTAATCTTTTATATATTCATTTCTTCTATTGATACAGCTTGTGGTCCAAGAATTCCCATTTATTCAGCCGTAGTGTTATCTATATCATCCTTATGAAAAATGTTCTTCATTCTTGAACTGACAACTGAATCTAGGTTATGGTATTTTGCATGATGATGTGCTGGCAGATTTTCCACTGACATTTTATATCTGAATTACTTCTTTATAGAAGTTTAGTGGTCTCTTTTTTAAAGGCAAATAGAACAGAAATAAGCTACATTTAACCGAAATGTCAGCTAAAAAAGTCAACTGAAAGTATCTGTGGGACTGAGATAAGGTAAAATATGTCATACTTTTTCATGTTTGTCTACTTATCTGGGATCATCAAATACTGTTTTCTAGTTCAAAACCCTGGAATAAAAAATGGGTCTTTGTATTGTGGCATCAGATTCATATTTTCTGTGCCTTTATTGCAGCAGTTGGTTTTGGTACTAGAATGTTAAGTAATACTTAAATACTCAAAATTAATAGAATTACTCTAGATTTCAAATTTTGTGGTCCATGAATTTTAAATTAAACTAGTGACAAGGGCATTTTAACCCTATTTTTTTTCCTTGATCTTTCTTTGGCTCTAAACCTTGGAATCTCAGAAGTACAAAACTTAGAATAATAGATTCATAGAATCATTAAGGTTGGAAAAGACAAATTCACAGAATTGTTTGGGTAGGAAAAGGTCTCAAAGATCATGAAGTCCAGCTCTTACCCAACACTTCCAAATTCAACACTAAACTATACCCCCAAGCACCACCACATCTACAGACCATAAATACCTGCAGGGATGGTGACTCAACCCCTTCCCTGGGCAGCCTGGTTCAGTGTCTGACAGCCCATCTGGGGAAGAAATTTTCCCTCTTACCCAATCTGAACTTCCTCCAGTGCAATTTGAGACCATTTCTTGTCATCCTGTCATTTGTTATTTTTGAGAACAGACCAAGCCCCAGCCTAGCTACACTCTCCTTTCAGGCATTTGCAGAGAGCAATAAGCCTCCTTTATTGCAGGCTAAACAACCTCAGCTCACTCAGCCACTCCTTGTGAGACTCTGTTGCCTTCCTCTCGACATGCTCAAGCTCATCAGTGTCTTCCTTTGAGAGAGGAGCCAAAAAACTTACAGTTATATCCATTTCTGAAATATTAACTCATTTCTTAATCACAAAATCACAGAATCATTAAGGTTAGAAGGTACATCTGGAGATTTTCCAGTCCAAGTCCCCTGCCAGGGCAGGGTCACACAGAGCAGTTGATGCAGAAACACATCCAAGTGCATTTTGAATATCTCCAGAGAGGGAGACTTCACAGTGTCCCTGGGCAGCCTGTTCCAGTGCTCTGCCATCCTCAGCATAGAGAAGTTCTTCCTTATTTTGAAGTGGAACTTGTGTTTTAGCTTATGGCCATTGCTCCTTGTCTTGTCACTGGCTACCACTGAAAAGAGTCTGGCACCATCCTCTTGACACCTGCCTTTGAGATATACATGTGACAAGAACACCTCTCAGATTTCTCTGGACTAAACAGGCCCAGGTCCCATGTTCTCACCTCCTAAGAAAGATGTTTCAGTCCCTTCATCATCTCTGTGGCTTCTGCTGGACCATCTGTAGATATTTGTCTTTCATGATCTCTGGAGACCAGAACTGAAAACAGCACTCCAGATGTGGTCTCACTAAGGCTGAGTAGAGATCATCTCCCTCAACCGTCTGGCTGCACTCTTCCTGATTGAAGAACTGGTGTTGGGTTTTCAGGAATGGTATGCCCTAAGGATACAATTTACCATCTTGGCCACGGGGACACATTGCTGGCGAATAGTAAACTTGTCATCCACCAAGACTCAGGTCATTCTCTGTAGAGGTGCTTGCCAGCAGTTCAGCCCCCAGTCTGTGACTGGTACTTGGGGTTATACCTCCCCAGGTGCAGAACTCTCTATTTGCCTTTGTTGAACTTCATTGTCTACACCCAGTTCTCCAGCCTTTTGAGGCCAAGCTGAATGGCAGCCCGGCCTTCAGGTGTATCACCCACTCCCCAGCAAACTTATTCAGGGTGCATTCCATCCCTTAATTCAGGTTGTCTATGAACAGTTTGAATATGACTGGATTCTCCTCAGCCGATCACAACTATCTGAGCTCTGCCATTCAGCCAGTCCTTGATCCACCTCATTGTCCATTCATCTAACCCACATCTTCTGAGCTTACTTTTGAGGATATTATGGGAAATAGTGTCCAAGTCCTTGCTGAAGTGAAGACAGACAACATCCACTGCTCTCCCCTCATTGACCTGTCCTGCTCTGCCATCATAGAAGACTGTCAGATTGGTCAGCATGATCTCCCCTTGGGGAATCCTTGCTGACTGCTCCTGATGACCTTCTTTTCTTTTATTTACGTGGTGATGATCTCCAGAATGATCTATTCCATCACCTTTCGAGGAGTGGAAGTGAGGCTGACGGGCCAGTAGTTTTCTGGGCCCTTTTTCTTCCCATTTTTGAATACAGGAGTAACACTGACTCTCCTCCAGTCATCAGTCATCATCCATCTCTCCTTTTCCCCATAATTTTTCAAAGAGTGACTTTGCAACATCTGCCGGCTATCTCAGCATGTGTGGGTGCTTCTCGTCAGGACCCATGGATTTATGGATGTTATGTCTGCTAGGTGATATCTAATGCACCCCCTACAACAAAGAAAACCCTTCCTTTTCTCCAGCATCCCTTATCTCCAAGATCTGAGGGCTGGCCTCAGCAGTAAAGACTGAGGCAAAGAAGGCATTCAGTTATTCCACCTTCTCTAAGTCTTCCAAGACCAGAAGACCAATCTGATTTATCAGTGACCCTACATTTTGCTTATTCTTCCTTTGGCTGCTGATGTACTTGCAGAAGTCCTTCTTGCTGTTTTTGCTGGCCCTTACCAGACTCAAATCTAGGTGGGCCTCGACCTTCCTTGTTACATCCATGCATATTCTGACAATGTTCCTATAGTCCTCCATCTGGTCTGTGCCTTTTTCCACATTCCATAAATTTCTTCCTTCCATTTGAGATTTACTAAAAGCTCCCTGCTTATCCATGCAGGTCTCCTGATCCCTTTGACTGATTTGCTGCTCATGGGAATACACTGGTCTTGAGTTTGAAGGAAGGATGATTGAATACTGACCAACTCTCTTAGAGCCCCATATTTTCCAGAACCCTAAACCATGGAATTCTTCCAAGAGGTCTAAGTTCAGGATTCTAGTCCTGCTTGCTGTTTTGCTTCTTCACAAGATTATGAGTTCCACCATCTCATGATCAGTGTTCTGAAAAACTCTCCTGCAGCCAATCTTGATAAATCCAAGAGCAATACTGACTTTTCAGGGGCTAGCCCACAGAAAGACCTGCACAGTGGTGTTGTGGAATATATCCCATGAGAGAAACAGAAAGGATGGCAACTACCCCTGGGAGGATGCTGGTCTCCTAGGTGTTGCAATTGTTCTCTGCCTGTTAAGAGGTTGTACTTTGTCCTTTAGATACTTGGCTGTCTCTTCTGGATGGACTCGACCAGGTGGGAGGCTCATGAGTCCATGGTGGACATACGGTGGCAGCTCAGGCTGCATTATCTCCACAGTCCTCATACCCTCTCAGTATAATAGTACCATCCTTCTATAAAGTACAGAGGAGGGAAGGGGGAACCTTGTGTCCTATTGTCTTTTGGGCAGTACTGACCGGAAATAAGATCCTCCTTTTTGTTTAAAAAAAATAAGACAGTATAATAATTGTGATACCAGATTACTTTAGCATCTAGAATGGGGACTCACCAGTGCAAAACCAAATTAAAAAGGTTTTATCTATCTGATCAGGAAATATGTGTTGACATTGTCATTAAAAAAATTAATTTGTGTGCACCTTCTTGTGTTTTTGTTTTATAACCCTAGATTGGTGAATTGTTGAGCACCACACACCCTGCCAACAAAGCCAGCCTAACTCTTTTCTGCCCCGAGGAAGGGGACTGGAAAAACTCTAACCTTGACAGACACAACCTTCAAGACTTCATTAACATTAAACTCAACTCAGCTTCCATATTGCCTGAGATGGAAGGACTCTCTGAATTCACAGAGTATCTGTCAGAATCAGTAGAAGTGCCATCACCTTTTGACATTTTGGAACCTCCAACCTCAGGAGGTTTCTTGAAGCTCTCCAAACCCTGCTGTTACATTTTCCCAGGAGGAAGAGGGGATTCTGCATTGTTCGCAGTGAATGGATTCAATATGCTTATCAATGGAGGATCCGAAAGAAAATCTTGTTTTTGGAAACTTATCCGGCACTTGGACAGAGTAGATTCCATTCTGCTCACTCACATCGGAGATGACAATCTGCCAGGAATCAATAGCATGCTTCAGCGAAAGATAGCTGAACTAGAAGAGGAACAGTCTCAAGGGTCTACTACCAACAGTGACTGGATGAAAAATCTGATCTCACCTGATTTAGGAGTTGTGTTCCTTAATGTACCTGAGAACCTGAAGAACCTGGATCCTAATTTTAGGGTAAAAAGGAGTGTAGAAGAAGCTTGTTTTACTCTCCAGTATTTAAATAAGTTATCTATGAAACCAGAACCTCTCTTCAGAAATACAGGAAATACCATTGACCCTATCATTTTATTTCAGAAAATGGGAGTTGGCAAACTTGAGATGTATGTGCTTAATCCTGTCAAAAATAGCAAAGAGATGCAATATTTTATGCAGCAGTGGAGTGGTACTAACAAAGATAAAGCTGAATTCCTGCTACCAAATGGCCAAGAGCTAGACATTCCATTATCCTATTTCACCTCTGTCTCATCCCTGATTGTGTGGCATCCAGCTAATCCTGCAGAAAAAATAATCCGAGTTCTCTTTCCTGGAAACAGTACCCAGTATAATATTCTAGAGGGACTAGAAAAACTCAAACACTTGGACTTCCTTAAACAACCAATGGTTACACAAAAAGACCTAACTGGGAACATTGCTAGTCCAGCTGTGAAACAAGCGAAATTGAAACAACGAACAGATAGCAAGGAGAGTCTGAAGCCTGCTGCAAAGACACCACCAAATAAGCCTGTCAGAAAGGAATCTAAAGAAGAAACACCAGAGCCTGTGAAGCCTAGCCCAGTACCAGAAAAGCCTCAGAAGCTGGAAAGCAAAGAAAAAGTTCCAGTTAAAAAAGAAAAACTAACAAAAGTAGAGACCAAATCAATAGTGGTGGAAAAAGACATATCAAGTAAGGAAGAGCAACTAGTAAAATCTGAAGTTCCTGAAAAACAAAGTACAGATGTAAAACCAAAAATGTCAAAGGAGAAGACAGTAAAAAAGGAAGTCAAAGCAAAACCCGAAGAAAAGAAAGAGGACAAAGAAAAACCAAAGAAAGAGGTTTCTAAAAGAGAAGAGAAAACCCCCATCAAAAAAGAGGAAAAACCAAAAAAAGAAGAGATCAAGAAAGAAGTTAAGAAAGAGGTGAAAAAGGAAGAGAAGAAGGAAACTAAGAAGGAAATAAAGAAAGAAGCTTCAACAAAAGAAGTTAAAAAAGAAGCTAAAAAAGAAGAGAAGAAGGAAATCAAGAAGGAAGACAAAGAAGCCAAAAAGGACATCAAAAAGGTTCCTAAAGAAACAAAGAAGACAGCTACTCCTTCAAATGAAGCCAAAAAAACAGCCGCAAAGCCTAAACCACAAAAGAAGGAGGAGCCTGCTAAAAAAGAATCTATACCTGCTGGAAAGCCAAAGGAAAAAGGAAAAGTAAAAAGTGTGAAAAAGGACCTCAAAGTCAGTGGAGCACAAGCTGCCCTTGCAGCTGTTGGAGCTGCAACTGTTGCAGCTGCAGAAATTACAGCTGGTGGAAAGGAGCTTGAAGCAGAGAGATCCCTTATGTCTTCACCAGAAGATTTAACAAAGGATTTTGAGGAATTAAAAGCTGAAGAAGTAGAAACAATAAAAGAAACAAAATCTCAAGTTGCACTTATAAAGGATGATCTGAAACTTACTGGTACAGTACAAAAAGACACCTTTGAAGTACAAAAAGAAAAATTGGATAATGAAGGACCTGCTGAGTCATCTGATGAAGGCATAACTACCACAGAAGCTGAGGGTGAGTGTGAACAGACACCTGAAGAATTGGAACCTGTGGAAAAACACAAAGTTGATGACAATGAAAAATTTGAAGATGAGGGAACTGGCTTGGAAGAATCATCTGAAGCAGATTATGAAGAAAAGGCAGAGACAGAAGAAGCTGAAGAACGAGATGAAAATGAAGTAGAAAAAACACATCTGGATGCCACAAAATCATATATGGAAGAACCAAGAAAAATTCCAGGTGGCTCAGAAAAACTAATGACTGAAGTAGATACTAACCTAAAAGACGAAAAGTATATTGAAAAGGCAGATTATGAGACATCCGATGAACGAGCTGAAGAAGACAGGGAAGATGCAATAGAAAAGGCAGAAACTGAAGAGACTGAAGAAGATGAGGAAGACAAAGCAGAAGACATTAGAGATGAAGAGGAAACTGAAAAAACAGAAGCTGAAGAAGATTACGTGATGGCTGTGGTCGACAAAGCTGCAGAATCTGGTGAAGCTGAGGATAAGTATGGCTTACTCATAATTACACCAACTAAACGCTCAGAGTCTCAGTCTCCAGTGATTGAACCAGCTTCTTCTATCCATGATGAGACACTACCTGGTGGTTCAGAAAGTGAAGCCACTGTTTCTGATGAAGAAAATAGAGAAGATCAACCTGAGGAATTCACTGCTACTTCAGGTTACACACAGTCCACCATTGAAATATCCAGTGAACCAACTCCCATGGATGAAATGTCAACACCCCGAGATGTCATGAGTGATGAAACTAACAATGAGGAAAGTGAGTCACCCTCTCAGGAGTATGTGAACATTACCAAGTATGAGACATCACTATACTCTCAAGAGTTCAGCAGAGCTAAACTTTCTCCACTTCCAGATGCTTTTAATGGGTTGTCTGAGGGATCCAAAACAGAGGCCACAGAAGGTAAGGATTATAATGCCTCAGCTTCCACCATCTCACCACCCTCTTCATTAGAAGAAGACAAATTCTGTAAATCTGCATTCCAAGATGTATACCGGCAAAGAGAAACTGAAATCCAAGCCACTGACAAATTAGAAATCAAAGAACCCTATCAAGAAGATGGTGGAAAACATAGTTCAGCCAAGAGTCCAGCTGACAGTTTGTCCCCTCCATCACCTGTTGCCAAAACACCACTGAGTGAACGCAGTGTGAATTTTTCGCTCACTCCCAATGAGATCAAGGTTCCTTCTGAGTCTGTCCCCACTGCTAAATTGCCTGATGTACACCAAGAAGTTGCTGAAGAGCACTGTGCAAGCCCCGAAGATAAAACATTAGAAGTAGCATCTCCATCACAGTCTGCTGCTGGTAGTGCTGGCCACACACCTTACTATCAGTCTCCCACTGATGAAAAGTCCAGTCAGCTTCCCTCTGAAACCAGTGAAAAGTCTACAGAAGCTCCTGTTAGCTTTGAGTTCAGTGAAGTCAAAGATGAGTCTGCAAAATGCAGAATAAGCCCTATGGATGAGCCTGTACCAGATTCAGAATCTCCTATTGAAAAGGTTCTCTCACCTCTGCGGAGTCCTCCACTGATAGGTTCAGAGACCACCTATGATACATTTTTGAGTGCTGATTTAAAGTCTTCCACCAGAGATTATGGAAGTCCTTCTGAAGGGAAACCTGAAAAAGACAAATCACCTGTTCAGATGAGCCCAGCTTCTGAAGCAAGCTCTGTGGGCCTCTTCCAAGAAAAACAAGATGAAAAAAGCATGGAATTTATGGTAATTAAGGAAGGCTTCAGCCTGGAAAGGAAAATGGAGGATACAGAACCCAGCAGCTCCCAGTCTTCACTGGTCTTGGATGAGCGGAAGTTAGCAGGTGATCTCTCACCAACTCAAATAGATATCAGTCAGTTTGGTTCTTTAAAAGAAGATACCAAAATGTCAATTTCTGAAGGCACTGTCTCTGACAAGTCTGCAACTCCTGTTGATGAGGTTGTTGCAGAAGACACCTATTCCCATATAGAAGGAGTAGCTTCTGTCTCTACAGCATCTGTTGCCACTAGTTCATTTCCAGAACCAACTACCGATGATGTATCTCCTTCTTTGCATGCTGAAGTTGGTTCTCCACACTCTACTGAAGTTGATGATTCCCTTTCAGTGTCAGTTGTACAAACACCAACAACTTTTCAGGAAACAGAAATGTCTCCATCTAAAGAAGAGTGCCCAAGGCCTATGTCAATTTCTCCACCAGATTTCTCACCTAAAACTGCAAAATCAAGAACACCAGTGCTTGATCATAGATCTCCTGAGCAGTCAGCTATGTCAGTAGAATATGGTCGGGAGTCACCTGAGCAGTCTTTAGCAATGGATTTTAGTAGACAGTCTCCAGAATATCCTGCTGTAGGCACTAGTGTACACCATATATCTGAAAACGGTCCCACGGAAGTAGATTATAGCCCTTCCGATATACAAGAGTCTCCTTTTGCACAGAAGATTTCACCTGTGGAACAGTCATCTTACTCTCAAGAGAAAGATATTTCAGAAATTATTTCAGTTTCTCAAATTGAAGCTTCATCTTCAACTTCATCAGCTCATACACCTTCACAGGTAGCTTCACCACTGCCAGAAGAAACTTTTTCAGGTGGTATTCCACCCAGAGAGATGTCACTGCATTCTTCTTTTACCTCAGAAAAAGTACAGAGCCTGGGAGAAAAGTTGTCACCAAAATCTGACCTGTCTCCACTAACTCCAAGGGAATCTTCTCCCCTGTATTCTCCTACTTTTCCAGATTCACCTCCTGCAATCACAGAAGCAGTGTCAGCTAGTCACACACCTTTGTTGTCACAGAGAGTGTCTTCTGTCAAAGCCTTTGGTTATCAGGAACCCCTGTCAAAGCACAGTCCAGAGCCTTTATTCAGCCCAGATAAAGAAGATTCAGAGAAAAGCAGCAGGTCACCAGAAGAACTTAGTTATTCATATGAGGCCAGAGAGAAAACTACGAGGTCACCAGAGAGTATCAGCTATTCCTATGAGGCAGTTGGAAAATCTACTAGATCCCCTCAAGGCATGGATTATTCCTATGAGACAAGCAGAAAAACTACCAGGTCTCCTGAGACCACAGATTATTCCTATGAGATAACCAGGAACACTACTAGGTCACCCGAGGGTACAGACTATTCATATGAGATAATTGCAAAAAATATGAGGTCATCTGAGGTCACAGATTATTCTTATCAGGTAACAGGGAAAACCACCAGGTCACCAGGGGCCACAGATTATTCTTATGAGACAGCTGGGAAAACTGCCAAATCACCTGAAGCCACAGATTATTCCTATGAGTTAACTGGGAAAGCTACTAGATCACCTGATGCAATGGATTATTCCTATGAGGCAACAAGGAAAACCTCTAAGTCACCAGAAGCTGTTGGCTACTGCTATGAGACAACTGGGAGAACCACCAGGTCATCAGAGGCCATGACTTACTCTTATGAGACAACTGGGAAAGCCTCCAGTTCACCTGAAGCCACAGATTACTCATTTGAGACAACTGGGAGAGCTACCACTGGGAGGTCACCTGAAGCTACCAGCTATTCCTATGAAGCAAGTGCACATTTTACTCCAAGTAAATCATTAGCAGAATCCCGTCAAGATGTTGACTTATGCCTTGTGTCCTCTTGTGAATATAAGCATCCCAAGACTGAACTTTCACCTTCATTTATCAACCCAAATCCACTTGAGTGGTTTGCAAATGAAGAACAGTCTCAAGATCAAGAGAAGCCACTAACTCAGTCTGGGGGAGCTCAGCCTCCTTCTGGGGGAAAGCAGCAAGGGCGGCAGTGTGATGAAACTCCTCCCACATCTGTGAGCGAGTCTGTCCCATCTCAGACCGATTCAGACGTTCCTCCAGAGACTGAGGAATGCCCTTCCATCACTGCAGATGCTAACATTGACTCAGAAGATGAGTCGGAAACCATTCCAACGGACAAGACAATTACGTACAAACACATTGACCCACCACCTGTCCCAATGCAGGATCGCAGCCCTTCCCCCAGGCACCCTGATGTTACCATGGTTGATCCAGAGGCTCTGCCAGTTGAACAGAATTTAGGCAAACCTTTGAAGAAGGACCTCAAAGAAAAGTCAAAGACAAAAAAGCAGGGTACAAAGACCAAGTCATCTTCTCCTGTTAAAAAAAGTGATGGTAAACCAAAACAAGTGGCTTCACCAAAGCCAGCTACAAAAGAATCTTTAGACAAAATTTCCAGAACAGCTTCTCCAAAAAAGAAGGAATCTGTGGAGAAGACAACCAAAAATATCTCTAATCCAGAGGTAAAGTCTCGAGTGGAAGAGAAAGATAAGGATACCAAGAATGCAGCAAATACAACAACATCCAAGTCGGCAAAGACTGCAACCACAGGTAAAGACAAGTATCAATGCCCTGACATTATGATTTTCTTAGTTGTTGCATGTTGTTAGTTTGCCATTATATCAGCTGAGAGTGTGGTTTGTGGCATACCCTCAAAGAAAGTTCAGGTTTTAAATGTAGGTAAATGCTACATTAAAATGTCTGAATGTCACTAGTTTTACTTCTATAATCTAAGAAATTTTATGTCAGTTTGCCCAGAGAGTACAAAAAATAGAAAGAATTTAATACAAGATGTCTAAACAGTTAGCCACCTAATAGAATTGAAAGTACCACTTTTGTAGGTGAAGTAAAATCAGTAGCAAGGTGAACCCTTTTATTCATTGTGAGAAATAAGTAGATAAAGTTCTCTTTAACACAAAGTAATGCAATTTAATATTGTGGAAGGCAAAGTCACTATCTCTCTTTGGATGTTCTTATTACTTTGCTGGATTGATTTTAAAAGCAGCATTTAAAAGTATTTAACATTAGTAAAAGCATTTTGAGTGAAGTAAGCATGTACATCACATAATTCAGTCTTATGCCGTCACTGATGACTAAACATACAGAAAGTTAATGTAATTTTGAATGTCTGTTACACATTCTAAGTAGCAAAAAATTGTGCATCAGATTACTGAAGGAGGTATTGAGCTAATCTGTTGTTTCCAGCAGACCTTGTTAGGGACTGTCTGGAGGATACTTTGGTTTTTCTTCTGTAAGGACTGATATTCTGTTGAAGGCTTCTTTACAAGGAGCAGTTCTAGGATTCAGCACAAATAAACAAGCATTCAGCTGTCCTTAGTTTCTCTGGTTTTGGTAGTCCACTGTTCCTTTCTCACACCATCATTTGCATCTCTCTGTTAGAAGATACATTTCAAAGCAGCAATGTAGTTCATGCTGTGCATTTCTGCAGCACTTCAGCTCTATATTGAAGTCATTAGGCACACTTCTCAGCTATGTGCTGGAATAATTTGTAATGATGTAAAATTGTAAAAATATAGCAACAAGTATCTTAATCAGTGTTGGTATGCACAATTATAAAAGACATCAGAGACTTTTTTTTATCATCAAAGATGATAAAATATTTTGTAACAAAACCAATAGCAAAACCTCTCTAAATCAGGAAATCTTATCACTTCATTTGGAACTTTGCCCTGTGGTGAGTGTCAGAACATGCTAGACAACTGTAAGGAAGTTTTCTGGCCTTGCAATGTTTGACCCTAAATTGATCATATTGCTCAGATAATTGTTTACCAAGCTTAATCAACATGAGAAAGCTAATAAACCATAAACATTAATCATCTGGGTAAAATTACTGGCTGAAGCCCGATTTTTAGTTTACGCTATGATTTTAGAGCAAAAGATGCAATTTTTTTGTGTAATAGTTTTCATGTGTTTACATGTTGCATTACATTTTGACTGAAGCTCTTTTTCTTGGAACAAGTTCTGTATGTACTATTTACAGCAGCAAAGAAATGCTTCACCCCACTTTTTGTGATAAGTGGCTAACTCCTGTATGCAAATAGGGATACAGAGGCAGACAAATACTCAACTCTGTTCACTGAATTGCTTTGCAACTTCCTCCTTCCAAGTTCCTTCTTGACCCTCTTTGTGCTCACATGTAGTAGCTTCCTGATGGATCTGTAAGGCAGCCTGAGCACATCAATTGCTGTCATGTCTAGCTATGTGCCTCAGATTTCAGAACAGCTTCAAATTTTCATGGCTTCCTGTGTGATACTATATTTTATAATCATTCATACCCTAGATTTTCAGAAAGCTGCACTTCTTCATCAGGAAAATAATAGCACCATTTACCGAATGGTAATTCAGTAATCAGAGCCCTGCATAGTAATTGTTGGATAATAGTAGTATATTACTGGAAAAGGTTCAACCAAGTTTTTGTTATGTGGTAGTGATTTTTTATTGTATTATATAGTTCCAGTTTCAGGTTTTTCCTCCTATTACAATCATAATTGGGGTACAGCAAAGCTGTAACATGTCATAATATGTAGGAGGGTAATTCCATAATTGGTCACCTCTCACCTCAATGGTACTAAAAGTAATTAATAAATGCATGCTTTTAACCAACCTGTCATACATTCTTTTGTTGTTTGGTTTCCAAAGGACCTGGGAATACTAAGGTGGCAAAATCTACAGCAGTGCCTCCAGGACCTCCAGTGTATTTGGATCTGGTGTACATTCCCAACCACAGCAATAGCAAGAATGTTGATGTTGAGTTTTTCAAGAGGGTGCGGTCATCCTACTATGTGGTGAGCGGGAATGATGCTGCAGCCGAGGAGCCAAGTAGGGCTGTTCTGGACTCCCTGCTGGAGGGCAAGGCACAGTGGGAGAGTAACATGCAGGTAGGCTCTTCATTTCTGTCTCAACCTGGAAATCTAACCTTTCTCAGCTATGAGGAACTGGAGCACTTCTGGCACAGATGGTGGCTGCCAGAGAATGGGAACCTGTCTTGGTTTCAAAGACAGGTGTCTGCCAAGGAAGGCAGGAACCTCCTTTGGAATGGAGAATATGGTGAGCGAAAAGAGGACCTGCACCCAATACCATTTACTCAGACCAATTCTCCCAGTATCTCTGTCCTTCCCAGACAAACCACCAGGTAAAAGGACAGAGTAGCTAGCTGCACTCTTCCCTTGAGGTGTGGCAACTTATTTTGCCTCTCTTAAGTACCCCATCCTTATTGTCTCCTACCAACACACATGGGAGAAAATTCCGTGAGAGAAAGAAACAAAAGAAAGAATCCTAAACTCCAGCAGGCCCCCACGCTGGGAACCAATGAAAGCATTGATGATGTGTGAACCACAGAGCTGCACTGCACTCCATTCAGACCAGTTCCTGGTTTTTAAAACAGTTGAGAGATGGCTTATAGGGCCAGCTGGCTGTCTCATAATTTTACTACACCACATATATGATCTGAGTTTGGCATTGTTGCAGTTTTAAGTAGAGAATAAATGTTACACACTTTATAAAGTAATTACATGCACTTGGAAACTTCATGTGCCTTTCCATTATGATGAATAAGTTAGCAAAATATTTCTTTATAATCTGAAGAGTTATCAGTGCAGATTACAACCTTATAACTTCTCTTGAAAACTGCACTGTCTCAGCACTTTGAGAAACATGCCTCACTCTTCAACATTTTTAAAAGTTTAATAAGGGATAAAAGGGACAGTAAACAGCAACAGGTGCATAGCCATAGCTAGAGGGACACCAGCTAATCATAGCAAGTCTTCTTAAATACTTTTTCATTGCATTAGTCAAATACATATTCATAAATATTAAACGTATTGAAACATTTCTTTAAACTTCTTTATATGTTCCGGGGATTCTTTAGCTTGGTCCGACCCCTGACCCATCTTTTTAGAATACCTACATAATCATGGATGTGATTTTGAGAGTTATGTCTCACTTCTGTGGTTTCAGCAGGCAATAGTGATAGTCAAAGGATCAGTGGCAGGGGTCTTTACAGCTGTTCTTCAAATGTTATCTGACCATGCAGACCATTTTAGCTATTTCCACGAGTATTTTAAATCAATATCAGCTATTTCACAAATTCATCTGTTATTCTCACTTCTGTCAGTTAGTTACAGAAATAAAGGCACTAGTTATTATTCCACAATTACAGTTACTTCTGCAAAAGTTAACACATAGCATCCACTTTAATATTTTCCGAAACCCTAAACTATAGTTTATATTTATCACAATAAAATATTCAAGTTACACCGGGACTAAGGCACTGGCCACAAAAAGCTGACAAATTATACTATATTAAATGCACTTAAAAATGATTACAAATAGTATTATATCAAAATCACAGAAATTAATAATAATTTGCAAAAGCCAATACATAATAGCAAAAGCCAACAACTACATAGTTATTTATAACAGGACCTTACAAAACCAACATTTTCTTTCGATAAACCTTATTTTCAGTCATTCTGCCTTACCTACATGTTGATTTCTTTTTTCAACCCATTTATTCAAGTATTTATTGCATAAAAATCCACTCTTTCGAAAAGAGTGTTGGATGGGGCTTCTTGAAAAGACATTTTGCTGTTTCTGTGGTCCATTCAATAGGAATTTTATTTTGTGTTGCAGGTGACTTTAATCCCAACCCATGACTCAGAAGTGATGAGGGAATGGTACCAAGAGACCCATGAGAAACAGCAGGATCTCAACATCATGGTTTTGGCAAGCAGCAGCACTGTTGTTATGCAAGATGAATCTTTTCCTGCATGCAAGATTGAACTGTAAGAACAAGACCGTGCATCACAAGATTAAACTTTGTTTCCAGAAATTCTTCAGTTTGAAAACACCTTTCCTGAAAATTCAAGTCATCTATTTTAACTGCTCAACTATATACCTGCCAAATGCTATACTATGTCACAGTGATGCAAGTCACTAATATTTTTCAGTCTTTGTTGGTTGCTAAGGGAAATAACAGTCTTCCCATAGTAGAGTACAAATTACTGCGAAAATACAGATCCAATTGCATCAACATTTTAAAACCATGCACTCTAGCAACCCCAATTGACTTTTGCCAGGTAGAGGCGTTTGCCCTCTAAAGAAACACAAAGAAAGTAAGAGAGAGAGGGGTAGGAGGAGAAAGTAGTATATATTAGGTCTGCATTAGTCTCATGGCAATAGATGTATCGCTTACTACAGTCTGCTTATGTTCTCACATGAGAAGAAAGTTTTAAATTTTTATCAATATGAGCTATCACTATGGGGATCCTTTTTTTAAAGAATTAAGTTAGCTCAAAAAAAAAAAAAAAAAAAAAAAAAAAAAAAAAAAAAAAAAAAAAAAAAAAAAAAAAAAAAGAGAACATGGCTAGGAAGGGATGTATGACCTAATCACTCATCAGCAGCTTTTCACTTTAATTTGAGCTCTGCATACTGACACACCGTAACAATCACAGGCCAAATATGCACGTAGCCTGCACCCCATCCAGAAGTGTAAAATCTTTCTTAGAACATGCAGAATTGTTGATCTAAGGCATGCTTCCAGCAAAAACCCGCTCACTCCAGCCAGAACTGACCAGTCCACATGCTTGAACACCCATGTCCACTGTCGATTAACTGAAGCAAAATACCAAAGCGGTCAGGAGTACATACAGTAGACAATTTGCCTTAGAAAGTGACTTGAATGTACAAAGAAACTTGATGCACTTATTTTTTAATGCTGAGACAGCAAATTTATAAAACATCTGTGTAGGATCATAGTTACACCAGTAAAGAAGCGTGAGTGTGCATGTGTGGTATTAGGAACTTATCTGACTGGTCAAATGGTTTGGTGCTCTGAATTACATATATTAGTTAAGTGAACACTTCATAGATGCACCTGGACAGCTCAACAAGGCAAGATGAGTTTTTTTTTGAAGGCTCCTTTCATACTGTGGAAGCAAGATTGAAGTGGTGTCCAGTATCAGAGTTACAAAACTTAGTGAAACATTCAGATTGATTGACAAGGTTACCTGTGAGCCTGTACAATATTCAGCCTTCCTTTGTCTTACCTGATTTTATTTGTTTAATTTAAGAGGGAACAAATGTACAGAAGCCTTTCTTTTTAGTGCTGCATGAACTTTTAATACATTATTTGTAATAAACACTTTCATTTACAGGTAAATGCAAAGAAAATTTTTTCCGGTGAAGGCATTCTTTTTAGTAGTTTCGTAAGATAAATGAGTAGTGTTGTTTAAGATTCTAGTGAGAATGGATATTGAGGTAAAATTTATTGAAAAGAGTCAACTGTCAATACCTTTTTCAGGAAACAGGTATGGAAAGATACTCTCATAAAATTATTCTGTTGATGATGACAGAAAATTGGATTTGAGAAGTTGATTGCCCAATATTTAAAAGGTTGTAACCTACATTATTAATCCTTACAAGATCTTGAAAAAGGATAGAACAAGCAATAAGCTAAAATAAGTCCCTTCTCTTCCCTTTTCCTTCCCTTGTCTTCCCCTTTGCTTTCTTCTTTCCTCTATTCTTTCCTTTCCTCCTTCTCTTTCCTTTACTCCTCTCTCCTCCTCTCATTTCCTCTTTTTTTACTCTTTCACTTCCTTTCCTCTTCCTTTCCTTGCCTCTTCCTTTATTATTCTTTTTTCTTCCTTTCCTTTCCTTCTTTATGTTTCCCTTCTTTTCCTTCTCTAGACTGCTTGCAGAGGAGCAGCACCACCTCTGTGATTTAAGACAGTTTGGATATTTTCGTCTCAGAAATTTTACCCCAGTTTAAAAGATCTTGTTACATTGCAGAAGGTCTTCAAATCTGAATTTGAGAAGGTGTAAAGGCCTACAGCACAGACTTATGTGCTGGTTGTATGAATCACCATTATGGCTGGCATTAAGTTTTACAATGTAGTGAATTATGACCTCATTTTATTTTCTCTTCTTATAATTTATTTCAATTTTATATTGTTAGGATGTTTTTGTTTAATAGGTGTATGTTTGCACTCCTAATTTTTATGAGGGTTTTTTAATACTGGTTTAGGGTCTTGTAAATGTGGGCTTCTCATGCCCATTTAATGCTGTGAATTACTGTTGTCAGTGGCTGGGGTTTTGATTTATTTTTAATGTCTTCTCTTTTTTTAGGTTTCTCTAGCAATGCTGTTTTATTTATTGCTATACCTTTTAAGTAGTTAAGAATAACTCAGAGTTACTATGGCACAAAAGGCAGATGGAAATGTATTGTGAAAACAAGCATGTTTGCTGGGCTCATGTCATTCACTTAAGAATGCTTTTGTAATACATAGTCTACAAAGATATGTGGTATCTTTGCAGACTATGTTGTATCATTTTGCAGATATGTTCTGCAAAATTTTTGGCAGAACAGTTGTACTGTTTCTACAATTCTTTCTTATTTGTGTATTTTATTATATCGGTCAGAATTCAAACCTTTTGAGTGGGTAGGAACAGATTTCCTGGTTTTCTGACAACACCTGAAATGGTTTGTATCTCTGCTTTGGTAGAAAATTGTTTTAAGTACACAAGTGATTTTGTGACTAATCACACTTATGCCACTCACTCCTGTGAATCAGGAGCAATTCTACTCCTGTCAGGGAAATTACAGTCATCTGATCCTACTGTAAATTAAATTGGAATCAAGCCTTAAATATGCCCAAGCAAGTTTATGATGGCTGAAGCATTTGTTTTACTTCTGAAATAATAATAATAATTAGACAGTTACATATACATTTGCTTTTTTTGCTGCTACAAGAATATTAAAACCCTGGTCTGGCTATTCTGAGGTATTGTAATGCCTGTTCCATCCACTCCCTTCCAAATGGCAATGGCACCTAGATTCAACACAGCAATGAGCTCCTCCATTGGCTCCTCTTGCCCTTAATGACTTTCCTGCCTGTGGATCTAATCTACCTGTGCTAATCCTAGTACTACACAACTAGTTTAGTGTAAGTCATCAAAATGTACTATGTACATTAACGATGAGTGCTGTTGATCAGCATAGATTTCTAGGAGCATGGTTTGTTATTGATTACTCTAATTGTAAAGATTCAATACCTGAGTGCAAAGAACACTCCATTTCAATGATGGTATTACCCATAACAGCATTCCCAGTCATGATCTTTATGCTATTAATATAATGCTTCATATAATTCAATGAAGAATTAACTTTGGGGATCCCATCCCACTCTTGAACTTGGACAGGGCCTCTCTTGCATGCCTTTTCAAAGTCCTGTGGTGGGCCTGACTCATTGACCTCTATTTTCACCTCATCTTTCATAGAAATCATTTTTGATTTTTTTTTTACTTATTTTACATACTGTGGTGAATGGAGATAACTGTGTATATGAATGTTCGGGTTTTTTTAATTGTCTATGATAGCTTATGCATTTTAGGAGAGTTCTGGTACTCTTTTACTAAGATTTAATAAATTTGTTAATTGAATTTTCAATCCCTCCCAACACAAGCAAATGAGTTCCAAAGAGCACTTGCTGTGCATTTGGAGCATTTCTGTCATGCGCTTCTCTTTGTTCATCTGTCGCCAGAGGTTCTTGCTCAGTAATGATGTTTTTGAGAGAAATAGTAATTTTCTTGATCTGGATTTACTAGAATATGAAAAAATATAATGTTTACACTTGAAAGGAAAGCTTTCATCTTTTCACTTAATTGAACAAAACACTAAAATCAACTAGGGGAAAGCATTTATTAGACTGCAATTATATTATTCACCTGGTATAAAAATGTTTGCTATTTAAAATTTAAAAAAAATAAAGAAAAAGCTTGTTTGTTGTGACTTTTCAAAAAAAATCCTGAAAAAGAAGTGTAACTAAATAAAACAATGGCATAAAATATAGAAAGAAACAAATTTAAGGAGCAGCTTCTCTCTACTAGGCTAAGAGCTCCAGAAGGCAGGAGCTACCTCTTCAAGACTGGGCTGTAATCTCAATGTAAAAGACAAAATCTGAAATATGCTTTCACGCATTTGCATGCAGCCATTATCTTCCAAACTATGGAAAGAAAGTCTTGTGGCTGGCTGAGAAGCACCTCACACACCTCCTCTCTTGTTCTGAATGGTGTTTGTGTCAGTCTGCAGCTGTGTATGGTATTATGTCTTATAATCCTGCATCACTTCTATTCTATCCAGTCATATCTAATGTAGAAAATTAGTTTCCAGTGAAAGTAATATGTAGTGCTTTTATGATATTTGTGTGCAATATCCCCTCTTCCATTGAGGATATTTGATGTAAAGGAATCAAACTCAGTTCCACAATAAAATACAAAAGTGGTAAAGTGGTGTTGACATGTTTCTTGTCTTTGTGTATGTATGTATTTTTAAGTTCTCCCTTTCTCTTAGTCATGATTACCTAGACTATGGGGTTTTTTTCTGAAGATCTGTGATTATTTGAATGCCAGACAAACCCCAATCTCTCTTTAGAAATTGGAAAATAAATGTGGAAGGATACTTTTATCTTGTGGTGTGAAACATTACCATGATGTACCATGACATGGCTTCTCTGTTGTTCTCATTCCTGTATTCCTCAGCAGAATGGGAAAACACCTCATTTTCAGTAAGTACACAGTCACAGATGATGCCAAATAAAGTTTCATCAAACTGAGCCCACCATGAGGTCTTTTCCAAAGTTGTAGCAGTTCAACAAGAGTGTGTAGCTTGTCTCCAGTAGTCATGGACCCTTCCTGACCATTACTGCCCATTCATCTTGGTTAGGGTGGAAAGAGCATGTGGGGAAACTAAGCCCTCAATTCACTTTTTTACTCTGTAAATGTTAGAATTCCTCTACTGCTGTTGGGGGGTGCCGTAACATCAGGCTTTCTGCCTTTGTAGTTCTTCTGCTGCAATGCCTGCTGTACTGAGATGCAGCAGTCCATGGTGACAGCATGAAGGCAGGTAAAGGCTGCGGCAGCAAAAGGCAAGGGGTGCTCATTCCCAGGAGAAGCAGAGGTCCTGTGGGACTTCCTTCACCCTCAGACAGCAGTTTTCTTTTGCAGGCCCTTATTCACCTCCAAAGTCCAAGAGTTTATTTCTAGCTTCTTATGACAAGAAATGCTGTACCTGGCTTGAACATGGTGAAATAGGGGAAAATGATGACTAGATGAGGGCAGTCAAGTGCTGCAAATCTTATATCCTAAGTATAATTCTGCATATGTGTACATCAAGGTTTTCTAAGCTTTGTGGTAGAGTAAGTGATACTACTTAAAATATATTACAATGATTCTGCAAAGGAGACTAGCTCAAGATTCAATCCCAGTCATTTACTTGCAGCTACATAGCAAAGTTCTGGATTTGCATAGGTGTAATGGGCCAGGTCTGCCTGGTGTGTGGTGTTTGGCTTGCTGCTTCTAGATGCCACATGAAAGCTCCTTTCTTCAACATAGCTGAACAAATTCAATCAGCTTATGAGGTATTATTTCAGTTTCCATGGGAACATGATGGTTCATCAGGTCTTTTCAGTCTATCAAAAATGGAGGATCTATCTTGTGGCATCCTGAACCAGTAGACTATTAATTCTTGATTCTGTGGATGGGAGGAAATTTTAGCCTTTCATTGATCCAAGTGTCTTGGTTTTAGAAGACAGGTGCCTGCTAAGGAAGGCAGGACCTTCCCTTGGAATGGAAAATGTAAACCTTCTCCCTCCAAATTACTATGATTTTGAAATTAAGGGGTTCTCAGGCAAAGATATGGAGCAGGAATAACAGTTCTTTATTAGATTTTTTTTTTTTTTTTTTTTATGCAGTAATGCAAAACAGCACTGACATAATCAGAATATGACCTGACCCACTGTGGGTCAGGGTGCTGGTAACAATCCCATTAAATGTTGGCTGCAGTCCTGCAGTGACAGATGTGGTTCTGCTGAAGCAGTGATCCTGTAGAAGAGTGCAGTTTTCATCTGAAGGTCCAGTGGTGGTGTAGATGGGCCGGGTCTTCTTCTGGAAATCCAATTGAAAATGTTGCTCTGGTGTTCCAAGTCTCAGGTTATAACCAGGTAGGAATGCTTGGCTCCTCCTTCTGGGCATAGCATCTGTCATGGTTTGACACTGGCACAATGCCAGTGCCCCCATGAAAATGCAATCTCTCAATTGAATGCTGTGAAATGCGATCGAGAACAGAGCAAAGCTTAATAAAAGGAAAAAAACTTTATTAAGCTACTACTATAAAAGAAAAAAAGAAAGGAAAAAAAAAAACACACACAAAGATCAAAATGAAAACCTTGCAAAGCATTCCTCCTCCCACCACCCGACTCCAACAAACCACAGTGAGACACAATCTGGACCCCAATCAGGTTTTCACCCTCCAGACAATCGATACTCAGTCCATCAAGGGAGAACAGGAGTCTCTCCTGTGCCACAGACCCCCCAAGAAACACAGCTGCCACATCCAGTGCTTCCATGTCACACATGGCACCACCCGGAGAAAAAGTTTGCCATGGTGACCCTTCTCCTTTCCAGGCACAGTGCTCTCACCACCAATGCATGGATGGACAGACTGCTTTTAGGATTATTCCTTTCAAGGATGCCCTGCCAAGAGGGGAGAAAAACAACAGTTCAGTTTTTCATTTTTTGGGACCACAGTCCGCCCAATTTTCCCCTGGGGCCGAGGGTCCAAGAACAGAGATCTTCTTCTCTTCTTCTTTGAGGACAGGGGGCACCACCACAAACCCCCTAACTTTTCTCTGGTCACTCCACTTCTGTCTTTTCTTAGCTGAAGCAGGTCTCTTGGCTCACCGGCATCCTTCTAAAATACAGTCTCTCTTGGAGGAGAAGATTGATTTCAGTCGGTGGCTACCAAAGAAAAAGTCAAACCAAAAGCCACTCCTTGTCCCCCTCCTATCTAGAATTTCTCGTTCTAACATCCCAGGGTCCAAGCTCTCTCTCTCTTCCTCTCTTTCAAACCGAGGACAGGAAAAATTTCACAAGGCTTTAATTTCTCAAGGAAGGGTTAAAAGTCCCGACTCCCTGCTGGCTCTCTGCCTGGATTTCTCCAGCTCCCACAGCAGCTGGGCACCTTGCGGCCCCTGCCCTTGCTCTTCTCCTTCCTCGAGGTGAACTGCTGACAAGCAGCCGCTGCCAAGAGACTCTGGGGCGGGGAATGGAGACATCCCAGATTTCTTCCACCCTTCCATTTGCAGGGGCCAGCCCAGTTCCAGTCCCTCCACCCTTGGACCTACCTCAGTCAGGCCATGGGCCTCCCCCTCCCCACCCAGCCAGGCCAGGCAGGGGAGGCTGCACTGCGGCTGACCGGAACCAAAGAGAGCGAGTTCTCCTGGGAATTCTGCTTTTAACCCCTCTGTGTTCTCAGAGGCGTGTCCACCTTCAATTGGTCAATATCCAAATTGACCTTTTCCTTCCAGAAAAATTCTTTTTCCATGTCAAACCACGACAGCATCTCACAATGGGATGATGTAATTTTATCAGTCATGTAGTGAACTCAATGGCTCATTAACAGAAGATATTTCCCAGAGGGAGGATTGGTTGTAGAAGAGATAAAGAAAAACCCCACACCTGGTTTTAACAGGTGGCCCACTTAACAGAAGACAGCTGCCCCAGCTCTAAGAGATGGAAATAGAATACACACTCCTAGCCACATCTTGCATTTGCAGCCTAAGACACCCAGGATGTGACCAAAAAGAGGTGTTGAGGGATTTCTGATTAACAGCTACAGTGACATGCCACAGATCCAGCTTGTGCCCAAGATTGCAACAAAACTTGGCTTTCTAAAGTTTCCCTGGGCCCATAAGCATTGCCCATGTTCTTCATTCAGCAAGCAGTTTTTGATCAACGCCTGCTGTTGTAGTCACTATTCATCTTCCACAGATGTGACTAGTCTGCACTGCATCCTCTTTTGTGCTATGTGTGCCTTCTTTGACACTGCACACTCCAGGAAAAGCTGGCAGCCCACGGCTTGGACAGGAGCACCCGTTGCTAAGAACTGGCTGGATGACTGGGCCCAGAGAGTGGTGGTGAATGGTGCTGCATCCAGTTGTGCTCTAGTGGTGTCCCACAGGGATCAGTGTTGGGGCCAAGTTCTGTTTAGTATTTTTATTGATGATCTTGATGAGGGTATTTAGTCTACCATGATCAAATTTGCAGATTACACCAAGCTGGAAACAAGTGTCAATCAATTGGAGGGTAGGAGGGCACTGCAGAAGGACCTGTACAGGCTGGATTGGTAGACAGAAACTAACAATATGAGGTCTAACAAGACCAAGATCTGGGTCCTGCACTTTGGACACAATAACTTCCAGGTTAGGGACAGAGTGGCTGGACAGTGGCCAGGCAGAAAGGGGCCTGGGGGTGCTGGTGACAGCAGCTGAGCATGAGCCAGCAGTGCCCAGGTGGCCAAGAGGGACAATGGCATCCTGGGCTGTGCCAGCAACAGAGTGGCCAGCAGGAGCAGGGCAGGGATTGTCCCCTGTACTCAGCACTGGTGAGGCCACACCTTGAATTGTGTGCTCAGTTCTGGGGCCTTCAATTTAGGAAGGACATTGAGGTGCTGGAGCATGTCCAGAGAAGGTCAGTAAGGCTGGTGAAGAGTCTGGAGCTCAAGTCCTGTGAGGAGCAGCTGAGGGAGCTAAGGTTGTTTAGCCTGGAGAAGAGGAGGCTCAGGAGTGAGCTGATCCCTCTCTACAACTCCCTGAAAGGAGGGTATAGCCAGATGGGAGCTGGGCTCTTTTCCCAGGCATCCAGTGACAGGGCAATCCTAAACTGCATCAGGGGAGGCTTAGATTGGACATTAAAAGGCATTTCTTCACAGAAAGGGTGATTGGGCATTGGACTTCCCAGGGAGGTGGTGGAGTCACTGTCCCTGGAGGTGTTCAAAAAAAAGACTGGATGTGGCACATAGTGCCATTGTCTAGTGGACAAAGCGGTATTAGGTCATCATTTGACTTGCTAATCTCAAAGCCTATTTCTCAAATCTTTTCCAGCCTAGTTAGTTCTGTGATTCTGTGATTCAGATTCAGCCCAACACTACCAGAAACTGAATAATGCTGACTGCCCTCATGATAGTGGGAGATTTGCTGGTTTTTGACTGCTATGTTCAGCATCATTTCCACCAGATATGAAATCCAGAAGAAAACTAGAGAACTAATTCAGCAGGTACTATATACTGCACAACCATTTTTCGCTGGGCCTCAAGGATCATTACCACCTGCTTCTCTGCACTTCAACAATTCCTTCATTACCAAACCCAGTATGAATTGCTGGCAAGATGGAGGTTGACTGTGCATCTGATGCCAGCTTCACTGCCAAAACAATTGCATGCCATGATTTACACAT